CGTTTAACAAATAGAGGAAACAGCACGATGATAGACTCGTTGAGAATAACATATTTATTTGTTTGTAATTTTACTTGTAATTTTTACTAGATATCTTATTATGAATACAATATATATATATATATATATATATATATATAAAATAATAAAATTTTTAAACTATTATTTTCTTAAAAACGTAAAGTAAAGGAGACTCTATTATTTGGCCTACAGAATTATTTAATTTATATTTAATTAGATTTTAACAAATTTTTTTATAACTTTTATAACTGCAGAGAAAAATATTGTTATAAGAAGAAATATTAGAATCGTCCCGATCGAGAAATTCCTCTGTGTGTTAATATAACTGTTTTTTTAAATAATTCTAATATTTCTAAAACAATATTTCTAAACAATTTTCTAACACAATATTTTTAATAATTTGTAGTAATATTTTTATAATAATTGGGCATAATCAGAAAAACTCTTGAGAAACTCTGGAAACACGATGCTGCATTCGGCGTCTCGTTCAGCCAATTGATATTAACGATAAAACAATCGTTGTATCGGACGTTTTGGATATTCAGATCTGCTCTTGCTGTGCATTGCGATATTGTATTAATCTAATTGCGCGTTTGTGAAACGAAATCTTTTTACAAAGCGAGAAATCGAGATTCACTTTTTCCGATACATTCTCATTTGAATGCGTTTATTATTTTTTAATGACTTGCTCGTATTTACATTTATAACTTAGGTTAATATTAATTGTACCTTTATCAATTGTTGTCTGAAATTTAATAAATAGCTAAGTATACTATAATTAAATTAATACAAAAATTTATTTTTCTATATTAAATAAAATATAGTACACTGAAATGTTTTGAAAATGAGATTAAACAAACTTCTTTTCAGAAGTTAAAGAAAATATATTGAAGAAACGATTTTGGTTTCACATTTTTTAAAATTCCGATTAAAATATATATACATATTTCTTTTGTTTCAACCAAATATTAAAAAATGGACATTTAACAAACCCAGAAACTCTTCACTTGAGATAATATATTGTGATACTCGACTCATCTATCCAACACACACACACACACACACACACACACACACACACACACACACACACACACACACACACACACACACACACACACACACACACACACACACACA